GACACAGGACTGGGCCGGGGCAGTGGCTCCAACCTGTCATCCCAGCACTTTTAGGAGGCCGGCAGGTGGATCACCTGAGGTCAGGAGTTCCAGACAAGCTTGGCCAACATGGTGAAATCCCGTCTCTACTAAAATACAAAATTCAGCCAGGCATGATGGTGGGACCCTGTGGTCCCAGCTACTTGGAAGGCTGAGGCAGGAGAATTGCTTGAACCCAGGAGCCGGAGGTTGCGGAGAGCTGAGATTGCAGCACTGCATTCCAGCCTGGACAACAGAGCGACACTCTGTCTTAAAAAAAAAAAAAAAAAAAGACACAGAATGGAACCTCAGTCTCTTCGGCTCAGCTGGGGATGGGCAGCCGGCTACAATGCCCATGGCCCATCAGAGGTCTCGGGCAGCAGGGGCAGGGGTGACAGGGTCAGGATCCCCAGAGAGAACCCCAGTCCTCAAAGCAAAGATGCACACGCGCAGCCTGGCCCAGATTTTACTCGCTCCCGGCCCCACGGGCACAAGGAGCACTGCCTCCCAGGGATCCCTGCCAAGCCGGCCCCGGGCTGGAAGCTGCAGGATCCACCCACCGGTGGCCCTCACGGCCCCCCAGAATCTGTATCCTCAGTGCAAAAGGCCTGGCGAGGAAGGCTGAGCCTGGAGGTCAGGCACGGAGGGCCTGTGCGCTCACTGGCCACTGGCTGTCTTCTGCACCAGCACCGGCTCTGACAGTGCCTGCCGCTGCAGCCGCTGGATCAGCTCCTCCGCGTAGACCTTGAACAGGGGTACAGGGTCCTGAAGGAGAGAGGGGCTCACAGTGAGACCAGGGAAGCCCAGGGCAGCTGGAGTTCTGGCGGGAACGGGACCAGCGGCTGCTGCCCGAGGAACCAGGGCCTGAGAGGCCCTGGAGGGCGGAGCCCTGTCTGTCAGATGAGGAGCCCCCTCCCCTGGGGACACTTGAGGCACACACCTGCCCCTGTCCTGTCCCTGTGGTCATAAAGAGAGGGAATGGGGGCAGCCAGCTGCCACCCCATCAGGGGCTCCCTGTCCCGACAGCCACCACAGGCCCCAGAGCCCTCCAGGGAACAGAGGGAAAAAGGAAGAAGACCCTTGGATGCTGGTGGCTGACCAAACCCTCCGTGCAGCAATCCTTCCCCTCCTACTGGGGTCCTGTGGTGGGAGAGGGTGGGGACTCAGAGGGGAGGGGCGGGCCGTGCTCCTCTGCAGAGCAGTGGCCCCTCATGCAGGCTCTGTCCAAGCAGCACTCCCCAGCCCCGAACGCCAGGCCCTGGGTGGGCAGCTCACACTCTCACCTTCTCCTCCAGAAGTCTCTGCTTTTCAATGGCCTCTTCCAGCGTGAGGCCCACCCACTCTGCCTCCTCCTCTGGGATGACAAATTCCTAGGCAGGCAGCGGTGGAAAGCGCGGTGAGGCCCAGGGCCAGGAGGAGGCTGCAGGCGCAGGGAGCGGGACGGAAACCCTCACCTTGTACTTGTCGTAGATGGCGGCCCGCCGTTCGGGGTCCTCGGGGTGCAGCTGGGGGTCTTGCCGGGCAAGCCGAAGCAGCATGCCCCGCTTCAGGTCCATCCCGAACTTGGAGCACAGGTCCTCCTTCGGGGTCTGGCAGGAGGCTCACATGGGACCAGGCGCCAGCGGCAGGGCCCTCCTACCCTTCCGGCCAACCGACTGGGCTCCTCTCTAGCAGCTGGTGGTGTCAGGACATGACAGAGAAGGCCCGGGGGGGCCACCCCAGCACCCGGGCACGGGGGTGGGATCAAGAGAGAGCGAGCAGGGAGAGGCGGCTCTGCTCACTCAGGTCCCACGAGCAAGTCAGACACCCACAGAGCAACGGCCTCTCCTGCAGGCAGGAAACCCCAGTGGCGTGCCCCAGAAAGGGGTGTGGCCCCATTCACGCTTTGCCAGTGACCCTCCTGCGCAGATGCCGGCGTGCCCTGGTGTGATGCTGACCTGGGGATCCCTTGCGTCTGACTGGCCCTTCCCCGACCCCGCCATGCACTGGCTGGCACGGCACACCCCGCCTTGCTTGCCTTGAGGATGTAGAAGTCGAACCCGTAGGCCTCGTCGATGAGGTCCAGAGTCCGCATGGTCACGGTCACGGTGAACTTCTTGTCCAGGATCTCACTGTACAGCTCCCGATCAAATAACTGCGGCTTCCACACTTTCTTTACCCTCTTGGAGAGCTGAGGGTGCGACAGCCCCGGTGAGTGCTCCCGCTTCCCCTACAGACCAAGGGGGCCCTAGGGAACTGCCCTCATCCTCCCTGGGCGACTCCATCACGAAGCACTGCTGTGAGCCTGGGGACTTGCAGCTGGGTGGGCTGGACCCCCAGCCCAGTGTTGCCCTAGCCTGACCCCTGGACCTGGCTGCATGCCCAGAGGTCAGCTGCCCCCCAGCAAGTTGGCTGCGCCTGCCCTTGCCACATGGTTGCTGCTGCCTTTCAGAAATGCGTGCAACCCTACAGTTCACAGGCCCTCCCTTTCCAAGCTGGAGGTGACACAAATCTCCCCAGAGGCTTCAACAGTCCCACCAGGAAGGCCACCAGAGCAGCCTCGAAGCTCTGCCCTCCAGAGGACCCCGACCCTCACATCCTCATCCAACTACAGATTAGGAGCCGGACGGCCGCACGGGCGTCCCAGGAGAGTTTAGGGGGCAGGCGGCCGACCCCCAGCCTCGCCTCCCCTACCTGTTCTGCTCCACACACAGGCCTCCTCCCCATCCTAACTTTACCGGACTCCCCAGGGACTTTGGCTGCTCCCCCAGCCTGGATCACCCCACCTCACCCTGCTTTATCAGTGCTGTTTGCCAAACTGCGGGTCTTCACTCTCAGCGTGCTCCTTTGCCAGAGCCCCGTCTCCGCCAGGCCGTAGCCCCCGGGACCCATGGCGTCTCTCTAGGCACCCCCGGTGGCCTGCACAGCACCGGCACAGCCGAGCCCCGGGGGAGCCCCTGAAGCCCGCCTGCTGACCCACCTTGTCGTTGTTGGTGTATCTTTGTCCTACGATCCAGCCCTCGCCGCCCCACAGCCCCCGCTGGGACTCGCGGGGAAAGTAGATGGGTATGGGCACGTCTTCCACACGCTCCCGCTGCCCGTTCTTGGGGTTGATCTTGAACTTGGCTCCATGGGGCCGATAGTGCACGGGAGTGGGCGTCCGCTCCTCCTCCAGGGAGCGCAGGAAGTGCTTGGGCAGGCGGGCACAGATGCCCTCCCGCAGCTGCAGCCGCTTCCAGAGCCCCACGGGGTACTTGTGCAGGGGCATCGCGCCTGGAGGAAGGTGGGGGCTCACACTCACCCACAGCCCGGCCCGGCCCCCGGCTCTCCCGCCCCCGCCCCTGACCCCGGCTCCCGCCCCCCCGCCCCTGCCCCTGCCCCGGCTCCCGCCGCCCCCCGATCCCCCCGCCCCCAGCTCCCGACTCCCGCTCCCTGCCCCCGGCTCCCGCCCCCCCGCCCCTGCCCCTGCCCCGGCTCCCGCCCCTGCCCCTGCCCCGGCTCCCGCCGCCCCCCGCCCCCCCCGCCCCCTGCCCCCGGCTCCCGCCACCCCCCCCCCCGCCCCCCCCCCCCGCCCCCCGCCCCGGCTCTCGCCCCCCGCCGCCCCTGCCCCCGGCTCCCGCCCCCTACCCCTGCTCCGGCTCTCACCCAAGTCCCCGCCTGCGCCCACCTGCCCCTCCCCAGCCGCCCCGGCCGCCCCGGCCGCCCCGGCCCCCGCCCGCACACCTGCCAGAGCCCACCTTTCAGAGCTCTGAATCCGGCGCCCCACAGGAACCGGAAGCCGATCTGCCGGGCCTGACCCTCTCCCACCGCTGACTGGCTGCAAAACCCATCCGTCTACCCCAGTCCCGCCCCATCTCCCGTCTTTAGGGACCGTGAAAAACACCCTGCAGAGACAGCAGCAGCCGCTCAAGGCACCGTTGGCAATGTGCGGCCCCGGCGTTCCCGCGAAGGGCGTCGCGGGGCCCGTTTTCCCGGGACACACCTCCCCTCCCCGGAAAGGAGCGCAGAAAAAATGTGAAAACTCGCTTAGTTTGAAAAGTCACTGTAGAATATTAAATTCACCAATAGCAGATAAATCAGATCTACATAAAAATATGTCTTAATGTCTTAGAATTTTCTTTTACCCCAAAAAACCCCATATATACAAGTTTCTCCTTTATGAGCCTAGAGATTGCTTTGGTGGCCAAGTGCAGGGCGGCTGGGGAGGTAAGGCCCTCGGGAAGACCACGCTCAGGACAAGCCCCAGAAGGGAAGCCCTCAGAGCAGGCCTCCATGGCAGGATGGCAGGCCTCGCAGGCCTCCGGGAGGGGCCAGGCGTTGCTCCTGGTCCTGGCTTCCCACGCAAGGCTCGCATGGCGAGCAGAGACAGCCCAGCCTCCAGAACACCTCCCAAGCACAGAGACAGCCTGGTGCAGGGGGCAGCCACCGCCACAGCTCCTGGGACCAAGAGGAGGCTCCCTGGGGGCCCCGAAACACTGGGGTGGGCGGGACCGGGCTGGGAAGGGGTTCCCTGTGGGCCACACCCCCTGAGCAGCAGAGCAGCCCAGTCCCACAAGGCTCTTCTCAGAGACCCTGGCTCCAGAGCCAGGAAAAAGCGAGGGGCAGGGCAGGAGCCTACATTCCCAGCGCCCATCAGCTCTGGGGGGGACCTTGGTCGCCTGTCCCTATCATGACCCCAGTAGAAGAGGGGGATCTTCCATGCTCCAGGCAGGCTGGCACCAGGGGCACCCAGGGGCCAGGACCGGGGTTCTGGGAGGGCACAGCTCCCAGCCACAGTGCTGGGCTTAGGCCTCCTGAGCCCCAGCTTCGCCAGGGAGCGGGATCACAGGGAGTCCTTCTCCCTGTCTTTAGCCCTCCGCAGGCCGGCACAGCACATGGCCCCACCCTCACACAGACACCTGTCCTCTGCAAGCCACACGAGGGAGCTCAGCAGAGAGTCAGCAGGCGGGCGGCCGCGGGAGAGGTGCGACTGGTGGGGACCTCCCCTCGGTAGGAGGAAGAGAGAGGGTGCGCGGGCCAATTTTATTCAGCTGGAAATCAGTCTTCCCCAGGGCTGGACGGGGTGCCTCCCCCCTCCCCATAACAGCTCCTGGCTGAAGAGGGTGTCGGAGCAGCGGGGGTCCCGGGCCGGTGTCACGTCACTGTGTACAGCTCCTCACGGTCGTTCTTGCAGATCTGATAGTGGCAGGGGAGTTTCTGCGAGCAGGCCCAGGGCTCGGCGGGCCCGGTGGGCGGTGGCAGCAGCAGGGCCGCGCTCCCGGCCAGCAGGACGTGCCAGATGCTGTGTGTGTAGTAGTAGTTGTGGCTGGTCATCATGCAGGTGTAGATGGCGATGCCCACGGAGGCCATGGAGACGCCGGGCAGGAGGTAGAAGGCCCAGCGCTGCCACGAGGTGGGGTAGCACTGGCGCCGGTGCCCGCAGCGGTACACCTGGAGAAAACGGCCAAGTGGCCCTCAGTGCAGATGGGACCCTGGCTGCAGCTCCCAAGGCCCGGGAACAGTGGTTCCTGGGGGCCTGCCCAGGTCTGGGCAGCTGAACCACAAGGGTGGACTGCTTCGAGGGGGCTCAAGGCCATGGTCCTCAGGGATACAGCCGTGCTGGGCCCCTGTGGGCGCCACAGCAGCCCCCAGCAGATGCAGGCATTCAGTGGTTGGAACGGGACCAGGAACAAGGCCAGAGCAAGGGGCCAGGCCCTCTTCTTCGACCATCTGGGCAGGAGCGCCAGCCAGCCCGGCTCCTTACCCACATGGAGGCCATGATCACAAAGGCAAAGAGGCAGGGCCCCAGCATGTTCCAGATGCCCCTGCGGTCCAGCTGCAAGGACATGGCGATGACCAGTGTGCCCAGGAGAAACAGCACCTGGGTAAGACACAGGGATGACTGAGGGCCCCAGGCCCGGCAGGACCAGGTGCACCCCAGGGCACCGCAGCACCTCTGCCTGCCCCCCTCGGAGCTGCTTGCACCCTTCGACCAGCTTTGCCAGGTGGCCGGGAAGCGCCCCTCCTTCAGCTTCTGTACTGCACCACAGGTGAGTGTGGCCATGCAGACGCCTCTGGGGGACTAGAAGGAGGTCACACAAACTGGACAGCCATGTGTGGCAGCTCTGCACCCACACATTCACCAGCCCCCTGCACCCCTGGGTTTCCAGGAGTCTCCCATCAGGGCAGGTTCAGTCTCCCACCCAGTGCTCCACGGAAAGGAGGTCCCATCCCTGAGTGTCCGTCAGATATCTCTGCTCACAACCTATCTGCACCTCTCTGCAGGTTCAGACCCTGCACTCAGCCCTGTAGGTCCCTGGTGCTGGCCAGCCTCCCCGCCGCCCTGGCAGCAGGGCTCCCATGGGCACCCCCTTGGGGCAGTACCCAGCCTGCAGTTCCCAGAGCAGACAGGAGGGCAGAGCATGCAGCTCACAGGCCCAGGGCACAACTCTCCCTGCGACAGCACTGGCTGCCACAGAGTCCCCAGGGCATCCTTGGCACCAAGGACCCAGGGAGCACAGGTGGGGGCTTCTCGAGGGCTGGGGCCTGCCTCCCCTGCCTACCACCTTCCTTCCTGGCATCCTCCAAACAGCTAGCGGTGCTCCCTCACAACTGCCCGCAGAGTCTCAGAGCCGCGTCTCCATGCGGCATCGCGTAAGACACGAGGTTTCTTTTTCCTTTGCTTTTGTCACCCGGGCCGGAGTGCAGTGCTGTGATCTCAGCCCACCCAGCGCCTCCCACCCCTGGGATCAAGCAATCCTCCCACCTTAGTCTCCCGAGTGGCTGGGACCACAGGCACGCACCACTACGCTCAGCTCACTTTTTGGGTTTTTTTGTACAGCCCAGGCTGCTCTTGAACCCCTGGCCTCATGGGATCCTCCCGCCTCAGGCTCCCAAAGTGTTGAGATTACAGGTGTGGGTCACCATGCTCAGCGAGATACGCAGTTTCCAGGGGCCGTGCCCACTGCCGGTCCGGCCCCTCCCTCTGTGCTGCGTTGCACAGGCTGTATCTGGGGGTCCTGCTCCCCAAGAGCCCACACCCCAGCGTCGAGGGTCACTCACGTATTTCAGCACTGTCTTGAGCCGCGCCATGCACAGGATGGTAACCCAGATGGCCGCCCCGGAGCCCAGGAAGTCACAGTACTGCAGCGTGTCGTAGCTGAGGATGCACAGCACGGCCTCCCCAGGCTGGTCGCAGGCGTGGTAGAACTGTGGGGAGGCCCAGTAAGTGCAGCCCCCTCCCACCCCACGCCCCTGCAGGAGGGTCCGGCCTACCGTGGAGAAGAACATGGTGTAGGCGTAGACGGAGGCCTCCACCAGGTAGAAGCGCTGCACTGACACGGCGATGGGGGCCAGGAACATGAGGTTGCTGAGCGTCAGCAGCAGTGTGGCTGCCTTCTGCTGGGCCACCGTCTGGGCCGTGCTGTTGTCCGTGCAGCTCCACCCACGCCAGCCTGGGTGCACACAACCCCCAGGGCGGAGGCTGGGGGCACTGCCGAACCTCAGGGCCCACCCCTTGCCCAGGACCCTGCAGAAAAGCCCCTTCCTCACCCAGGAGCAAGCTGGGCAGGCGAGGTGGGTGGGAGCCGAGGTCAGGAGCCAAGATCAGGTATTCCACCCCTGGGGATAGCTCGTGCCTGTGCCCAGCAGATGGGTTGTTGGTGGGGAACAGGGAAGTAGGGAGGAGGCTTTGCCCCTGCGTTGCTCGGCAGGGGTCTTTCTCCAGCCCCAGGGGAAGGGCATGGCACAGCACTGGGAAGCCAATAGCCACAGTCCCAGGGCGGGCAGGCCTGGCCCTCACCTGCCTTGCAGCTGCAGCCGGCATACAGGTAGCCGTGTCTGCGGAGCAGGAGGCACTGGCCATACGGTCCACAGTCGTTCAAACAGGGCACCAGCTGCAAGGTGGTCTCCACATGGACGGCGGCCTGCTCACAGTCCCTGTGAGGAAGGGGCCACAGGAAAGCTGGTGCAGGGATCTGTCGGCCACCCAGCCAGCGGACACCAGAACCCAGCACGGAGGCCCCCACCTTTCCGCAGCCCTGCAGGAAGCACCCTGCTGGCCGGGTCACTCTGAACGCCAACACTGGGCAGCCAGGGCCGGGGTCCTGAGCGAAATGACAGGGCGCCTGACTCCTGCCCCTGCCCCAGGTTTACTTACTCCTCGTTCTCAGAGCACATGAGTTGCAGGGACAGGTACCAGTTGTCCGTCTCTGGGTAGGGGATGATGAGGTTGGCCTTGTGAGACCAGGCGCTCAGAGACAAGGGGTGTCCCTGGAAGAAGGCTGCAGGGGGCCGGAGAAGCTGTCAGAGGAGGCCAGGGCGGGGGTCTGGCCGGAGCCACACTGACGGGACACCTGCCGGTCCTACCTGTGGTGCAGTTGAGCGAGGTGTTGAAGCTGAGGAAGGGCGAGGCGGCATTCACGCAGGCCGCAACGAGGGTCTCATTCCTGATCTCTGTCTGGAAAGGGAGCGGGTGCCGGCTCAGCCCCAGCAGCCCCCCAGAGGCAGCAGTGGCATCCGCCCCCCATGCCAGCTCAGCCTGGCACTGAGACTCCTGTGGGCCCACCGGGACCCTTCCTCCCTGGGCCCTGGGACTCCCTGCCTCAACCCCACCTCTGACCCTAGCCATCCCACAGCCCTGGGGCCTGCTGACAGCAGCAAGGCTGCCCAGCTGGGGAGGCCCCCTCTGACGGGCCCCTGTTCTGGCCCGGACCCGCTGCTGTCACCATGTTGCCTGTCCCAGCGCCAAGGTAGGTGAGGAAGCCCTGCCCAAGCCCGGGCCACAGGCCCCATGCAGGACGGCGGCTACCTTGTTGGCCCGCAGGGAGACAGTGAGGGAGCCGCCGCTGTCCATGCCGGTGTTGAGGCGCAGCCGCATGACGGAGGGCGTGTCCGCACGCACTGCCACCGAGAGCCTGTCCAAGGGCTGGAAGTGCACAGACACCACGTCCGTGTCTTCCCGTGTGACCGGGTGGTTCCTGAGGCAGAAGGGGCCGCCACCCGCGCCGCCACTCCTGCCCAGGTCCGGGTGCTCAGGGCCTGGGGACGGCCAACCAGCAGAGGCGTTGAAGGTCTGGTTCTGGCCGCTCTGCAGGAGGGGCTGGACGGTCACACTCCACGGCCTGCAGGCTGCCAAGAGGACAAGGGGCTTGGTTAGAGGAAGGTGTGGGTGTCTGGGGGCAGGGGGCAGGGGGCAGGGCCATCCCTCCCCGCCCCCGTGCGGCCCACCTGTGAGGGTGGCTACGGCGCTGAAAGCCACTGTCCCGTGGGGCCCCACCAGGCTCTCAGCTGTCAGGTGCAGCCACCGGTCCCAGGGCGGCGAGGGCAGCAGCAGGCGGCAGGGCTGGGGGGCCCGGGCGCAGGTGAGCACCTTCTGGAAGTTGCCAGGCAGGGTGACCGGGCCCACGGTGAGACGCATGGGGCAGCCCAGGCTCCCGTTGGACACGCAGCCCTGCAGCTCCAGCAGAAGCTCCCGTGTGTACTCGGGGACAAAGACCCTGTGGTGAGGGGATGTCGCTGGCTCAGGTGTGCCACCCCTCCGCCCGAGGGCAGGGACCCTGCAGCCAGGGGGTGCAGTGTGCCCAGGCTCTTCCATCCCCCAGCCCACTCTGGTGGGGGCCAAAGGGGGCTGGGCATCTGGACCATTTCCCAGCCCAACCCCAGGGCTCAGGGCCAGGCTCTGTCACCACCCCACCACATCCCAGGTAGGGCTGGAGGGCGGAGCTGGGCTGCCCCTGGCCCCCACTCACTTGAGGTAGCTGGGGTGGGAGACGAGGGTCTGAGGAAGGGGCACATCCGGCTTCACGATGGAAATCTCAACCACCCGCTTGACCAGCATGTCAGGCTGGAAGACATAGGCACAGGTGGGAGCCAAGCCCTAGGGAAAGAACAGGTGGGGTGGTGGGGTCAGAGGATGCAGGTGGGAGACAGGGTCCCCCTGGAACCCCAGGCGTGCAGGGAGCAGGGCTGGCCCCATAATGTGCTGTGGAGGCCAGAGCAAGGACCACCCTGCAGAGGTGACCGGCAGGGGCCGGCCATGCCCCCAAGGTTCTCTGCCTCCATCCCCAGAGGGCAGTCCCCCTCACCTTCAACTCGATCTTCTGGGATGAGGGGGGCAGGTGGGCGGCCACGAACCAGTCCCCGGGGGCCGGGTGGGAAACGTTGACCGAGACGTTGCTTAGCGGTGCGGCGCTCAGTGGCACCCTGACCTGGAAGGAGGGCTGCACCGACGTGTTGTCAGGGAAGCGGGTGCCCAGCGGGTTGATGACAGGAGGGGCGCCGGAGCGGAAGTGTCTGCAGACGGGAGAGCAGCGCAGGGCTCAGGCGCAGGCCTGGGCCAGGTGCAGGAGGCTGGGCGGGGGGCGGGAGGGCAGGCTGCCACATACACGGTGATCTCTGCGTCGGTGCAGGCGGCGCCGCTGTCCCTCGAGACCTGCAGAAGCCAGCGCAGCAGCACGGTGTCTGGGGGCACGCGGAAGCGGAAGAGCCTGGCGCTGCCGTACCAGCTGTAGAAGGACAGCCTCTGTGGAGCCTGCGAGAAGTGCTCGGACACCAGCCCCGGCTCTGCGGGGAGAAGGAGGCGTCAGCTGGGCTGGGAGCAGAGGATGAGGCCCCAGGGAAAAAGGGCTGGGAGCCCCCAGGGACCCACCTGGAGCCCTTGGCACACCAACTCTGAGCCTGGCAAAGGCCATGGCTACCCTCTGGCCCTAGAGATCGTTGCCCCTCAGCCAGCCCTCCGGCTCCTCTCCCCAAACTGCCTACATTCCGCCCTCCAGGCACCTGGGCCTTTCACAGCTGCTGCCTCACTGCTTCCAAACAAGCCCCAGGGCACCCAGCACCCATTGCCACCCTACCTCCTCCAGCCTCAGAAGACCCCCCTCCCCAGAGCCAGCCTCCAGCCAGGTCAAAGCTGAAGAACACAGCGGGCGTCATCACATCTGCCCTGGATGCTGAGGCACAGCCCTCCCACCCCCTCTGAGCCTCCCACGTCCCCTTCCCTGGATGGGTTGGCTGCCTGCTTGGGCTATGATGTCTTTGGACACAGCCAGAGCAGAGCCCAGATTCCCCCTTACCCAGAGGGAGACCCTGCATGTGGGAGGGACCCCAGGCCAGAAGCCTGGCCAGCCATGAGAACAAGAGGATAGCTGCCTGCTGCGTTCCAAGTGGGCAAGGCTCCTAACTATCCTCAGGGCACGTGCCCATGCCTGATGCTGGGATGGAGGAAGGCCCGTGGGAGACAGCCTGCCCGTGGCCCCAGGAGAGGACCCGCTGGAGACACCCTGCCCGTGGCCCCAGGCGAGGACCCGTAGGAGACACC